AATATAATAGCAAATCAAACCATTCCATTTATTCTCCCTCAGGCAGTGCCACAGGGTGTATGACATATGGGCATGAGGGTACCTTAAAATGAACAGAATAAAATGTAATGTAAGCATCATAGTAACTTGATGTAAATGACCCAGTCCCAGGAGCCATGCCCAAGTCAGCCATGACATGAATGATACATTATCTGGAGCTACAACCAAGTCAGCTATGACACAGACCCCATGTCACCCGGAGTTAATATAGGCCTCACAAAGTATTAACAGACCATCAACAGCCCAAAAACATAACACTACAATCCCTCAGAATTATCGCTTCTATATCTTTTCATTTTCAGTTGTTATCCACTAATATGGAAAAACAAACATACAAGCAAGGTAGTAAAATAACAAAAATGCTCCCAATCATTAGTCAATTCTTTGAGCAACCAGAGAAGATACGAAATGTCAAATGATAAGAAAAATATTCAGTACTACTACCACTGTAACTGAAGGGAACATATTACTGTCAACGTCTCATAAGAAGACGCATCGATCAAACAAAGGTATGTTGAAGGACAGGGGCATAAAGATTTGCTGGGTGGTGAGCAGCAATAAGGTGATGGATGAGGGTCAGCCAACCTTTCTCTAACATAAGTGCCAGAAATGCAATGAGTTAACTTAGAAGAAGCCACGGTTAGGGTAAGCCAGACCTATTGTGATGCAGAGCTGTTGTGCACTTCCTTATGAACACAAGCATGAGCCAAGATTCTGAGTGTTATATACATGCACAGGGCTTCAATGTATTAATGCACAATCCATTTAAAAAACAAAGCACCTATGATCAAATGTAAGGATGATTAGGCCAAAAGTGTACTTGTTACATATTATTCATCTTAATTTACCATAGGTAATGATGTTTTTTCAGGTCTGACAGAGTAGAGAACACTATAATCTACTTACAAAACTTTAAGAAAAAATACAATCTTAAAACTTAAAATCTAAAGGCTACAAGCAGGTATTACTGAACTCAAAATAAAACCAAAGAATACTAAGGTAATATTCCTCCACTTGACCTCATGGTGATGGGGAGGGCATGTGCGTACATGCCATACCCACTGTGTGTTTAATTTGATAATTGTTTTTACAAATAGATTGCTCCACAAGTACTTGGTCACCAATGAGTCAGTTACAAGAAGTACCTGTCTCACCTGTTTACCCTTTTCCTTGATTTTCAATAATATTTTCTAGTATTTAAAACTGTGGTTAGTAATGTCAGTAACAATATAGTAATTTTAATGTCTATAACAAAACTAACTGTATCAATATTGATAGCACTAGCAAAAAAAATATTTTACTGCTATTTCAAGGAAAGGTGAGGTCTCAAGATCTACTAACTGTCTCCTTTGTGGCTAAGCCCTGGCAGAGCCATCTATGTGCAGAAACATTTAACAAAACAATAATAAAGTGAACAAACATTTTTCATTGGGTTAACATTAAGTCAGAATCCCCTGCCATGCATGGTTTATCAGTTGCATCAGAATTTATCATATCATCTCATATGTCAATCAAAAATTATTATGAATTTATATTTTTAGCTCTTTCTATAAATGCAAAACATGTTTTCTGCCAAAAGATTTTGATCTCTACATTCACATATATTTTCTTTTTTAATCCTTACCATCTTTAATCATACAATTCAGAGACAAAATGGTTAATTTCTCACAAAAAAAAATCTCATGAATATATACAAAAGAAGGCAATAAATATAAGTCAAAAGTTATCAACACAAAAACAAGTGAAAATATAAATCTTATAACAATAATAATCTCAGGAGATACTAACCATAGTCTGCATTTGAGCCTTCTGTTGTTCCAGCATAAGGAAACTTTGGAGTTCTGCATCTCCAGAACTGCTACCACTGCCAGGACCACTGTCAAGCCCTGAAAGAAAAGCAATCTTAACCCATTCGTCCCGGCTGTCACATATATGAGACACCGGAAAAAATAAACATTGCCGGGCGGCCCGCCAGTGTGATGCGGTATCGGGGCTGCGCTCCGACGCAGCAGAGGCACGCAGCCGGGCGGGCGGACAGACTCCGGGAAGCTCCGCCCGCCGATTTTGTAGCCGCCCGGATTTTTTTATTTTGACTACAAAATGTACCCGGCGTGAATGGGTTAACTTTCTACCAAATCACCAGTTTATGAAACTAAAATAAGGATTTTAGTTTTAATTATCAAGCTAAACTGATTTTCCCTTCATGGCATAGACAAACTTCCAGAAAAGAAACAACTTCAAATTTCATGCAAATGTCTACAAATTAATAATGCAAAGGAAATTTAATAAATAAAAGATAATGAACTGTAACTTTCTCTGTCCTTTACTAAAGAGTACAAGTATACAGAACATTAAAAGAAAAGGAAACATCTGAAAAACATTTTAAAAAATTGATACCCAGCTCTCCTTTAACTAATAGACGATAAAACACATTTACAATGTTACTCAACACAACCTGATGCAAAAATACAGTAGTTGCATACTAACTGGTGACTGTATAGATAAATGGATTGTGTAACTAATAAATACTTTTTGTACAATGGCATATATTTCCCATCGTTGTCAATAATGTATTTTAATATATAGGTATTCAGTATTTGAAAAAATGCTTGGTGTTTATCAAATTTAGTCTTGGTCGACATCTCTAGCAGACAGGAATCACCAATTCCACTATGGAGAGAGGGAGAGGGAGAGGGAGAGGGAGAGGGAGAGGGAGAGAGAGGAGAGGAGAGGGAGAGGAGAGGGAGAGGGAGAGGGAGAGGGAGAGGGAGAGGAGAGGGAGAGGGAGAGGGAGAGGGAGAGGGAGAGGGAGAGGGAGAGGGAGAGGGAGAGGAGAGAGAGGAGAGGGAGGGGAGAGGGAGAGGAGAGGAGAGGGAGAGGGAGAGGGAGGGAGAGGGAGAGGAGAGGGAGACAGACAGACAGACAGACAGACAGACAGAGAGACAGACAAACACATCCCCCCCCACACACACACAAAAAAAAAAACACAAACACAAAATACAGACACACACAAAATACACACACACACAAATACAGTCACAGACAGACAGACAGACAGACAGACAGACAGACAGACAGACAGACAGACAGACAGACAGACAGACAGACAGACAGACAGACAGACAAGACAGATAGACAGATAGACAGATAGACAGATAGACAGATAGACAGATAGACAGATAACAGATAGACAGACAGACAGACAGACAGACAGACAGACAGACAGACAGACAGACAACAGACAGACACACACACACACACACACACACACACACACACACACAACACACACACACACAACAACACACACACACACACACACACACAACACACACACACACACACACAGAGGCAAGAGTCACCAACACGGTAACAATCACGAACCAAAACAAAACTGAACCTCACCGAGACCCGACGACGCCGACGACCCGAAGGAGGAATCGCCGAAGGACGAAGAACCGGTGTCAAAACTAGACGAAGAAGAGAATCCGACGTGGAAGAAGAGAACGAATCAAAGCTCGAGCTGGAGGTGTCTGTCTTGGGTTCACTGTCGCCGAAAAACCAACCCATGCTGAAGAATTAAACAACGAAAGGGGTAGACAGTTCAGGGGAGGGAAGGTATTACGTGAGATCGTGTTTACCTCCGCGAGCAGACGATGCGGGTCACGTGACTTCGAGGAAGCATTTGTTCGTGGTTTTATTTTTTATTAAAGTCACTGCTGTATCTCTTTGAGCTATCGTATCTTATGCTGTATTTTTGAAAATCAATATATATTTTTGTTTGTATTTTTTCGATATCATTTGGTTCTGTTACAGATACTATGAACTGAAAGGGTATATCTGTGATAGACTGATTTATTGTTAATTGCAATATTTGGATGAGCAAACAAACGTATCAAAAGAACTGTGTGGTAATACAGAAGTAAAATTAAACTTTGCTTATGTATTTTTGCAAGAAAAAAAATCTACCTGTAAACAGTACTGTGGACACATGTGATGGTCTATTATTAACTTGTCTAATATAATAACAATTAACCCTTGACCAAACGAGAATAAAATCCAATTATTTGAAAGTAAACAAAAAAATGTTCTTTTAACTCGTTGATTTAAATTCCTTCGCCTGCCCCCCCCCCCCAACCAGTGGCCCCCAATCCCTCAAAAGATCATGCCAAGAACAGGAAATTCCCATTTGAATAATTTTACCTCTCATCCCCCCAAATCAAATAAACGTTTTTTATAACCCAACTGAATCGCCTAATTTGACATATCTTTCACGGGCAGTGAAATATATAAATACAATAAAATAAATACAACTATCTTACAAAAAATATATATTTGGGCTATGCGACGGGCCTTACTTCGTGTAAAGAAACAAAATATTATCCTCAGCAAAAGATAATGCAAACTATACTCATTAAGAACTGTTCTTTAATTAGTTAGAAATTTAATAGAATAAAGAAATATTAAAGAGTGGAAACGTTGCGCAACGTGATTTTCATCTGCCTATGACGCCACCTGGACGGCGGTCGAGGGAACTACAAGCGCGAGGTAAACAATTTTGAACCAAATTTGCGATATTTTCAAGCCATGTGTCGCGACTCCTGACGGTGTGTCCTCTACGCACATTCCATGTTTGCCGGAGGAACCAGAGAAGGAGAGAAGGGCGAAATACCTCGGTTTTTATAGCGCATTTCCTGTGATTTCCGGCCCGAAATAGTGTCCCTTCAAACCCACTGTTAGAGGAACTGCTTGTTGATTTTTTCACTGTTGTTTTTTTCGCCTTTTCTCCTACCCGGAAAGTGTACGTGAGTGAGTGTTTTCTCCTCTGCGTGTGTTTAAAGGCCCGGTGTGCACCTCTCCTCTAGGCTGTGGAGTGGTGTGGATCCCTTGGGCCTTTTAAACACGCCTTCCCAGACATGTTCCGATCAGCATGTGATTTCTTGGGGTAGATAACAACAGTGATGGAGACTCTTCTAAGGAGAATCACCCAGTGCCCTCGTCAATGGGCAGTATTTCTTCCTCTTCAACATCCTCTGCAGCTGTGGTTGGTCTGGGGATCTCCTTGGGGTCGCACGCTAACCCCCCGTCCAGCCTCCACGCAGGGTTCTGTCCTACCCCAGAGGTTGTCAGGGCAATGGCGTTGCAGCTTCTCTCCTGTGTCCTCATCAACCAAGCAGAATGTGCCATGGAATGACTTGAGGTATGTGCTATTTTAAAATCACTTGATTGAGATTCAGTTTATCAGACTTTTTTTTCTAGAAAGTGACTACGAGTATGGCAGAAAAACCTTAATTGGTGTTCTGCACATGTGTGGTGAAATAAACAGGTGGCAGTGGTCTAGACACGAAAAGATGATACTTTCAATTAGGTTAGGTTAGATTCTTACTTATTACCCGGAAATAACGTTAAAGCGCTTTGCATGTGTGTGATATACCCTGAACTGTGAGAAATTGGATATGGCTGGTGTATGCGTAACACTGACTGTTTTTATATTGTGAGTATGTGTGGAAAGGGTATAGTTTATTTTACATAGCTTTGTGGTATAAGGTAAACTTTGCTTGTAAAGAAAAGAGTAACATGAAATAAGACACTATTCATCTATTTTACCCCTTTGTTAGTTAATAATAAGAAAGTTGTTCAACATGTAATGGAAAATCCAAATATATCAAAAATTTTATTCTGCAGAGACCCCAATTAGTGACGGTCTTGGTCCTAATATTAGGGATGGGCATGAAAGATATTAGGGAAATTGTGGAGTAAAACATGAATAATATACTGAAAAGGATATGCAATGTAAGAAGTAAACTATAGGACAACGTACCTTACTCCAGCAGGTACAAATTAGTAGCGGCGAGGAGGAAGCGATGTAAGTGTTGATTCGCGTCAGGGATGTTCCTTAAGAATATCGCCTGAGCCAAATACCGAACAAAATGGTACTTCCTCGTGCCGTAGTAAGGTACCTTTGCCTTTGGCTTCCTGCCACTTGCGCTCAATGGTGTTGGTGTGCGCTGCAATGATGGGATCGACAAAATTGAGTGAATGATTTACAGTCAGGTGATGAAATCCCTCTTTAGTTAGGCAATTATATGCCTTCCAGCAGTCACTGATTATTGTTGTTCTTGCCTCTACACGGTCCTTGATCATTTGTAAGAGGGTCTCAGCATTCCTTGAGGGCACCAGAATAAAAAATAAATTATGAGTTTCCCAGCACACCCCGCCGTAAACCCACTAGCCCTCAGTCACTCTGCCAATGTCATACTTTCTTTTGTCAGGCATGGATTAGTCAATTTTGTCAATAGTCCATCCATATAGTACAGATTTTCCTTTGGTTAAGTTTTGGAAAAGCATTATTTGTAATTCTCTACAGTACAGATGCACTTGCCAGAGACCAAGTCCCCAATTCTACTCTGCATCACAAACTTTATTTAACAATCTAAATTCCTTGACTGGGCATACTGTTTGAGGGGAGGTTAATGGGGGTTCTGTTCCCCAACACCCCCCAGCAGACATTGTATTCACCTTGGTATGCATGGCAAGATGAAGCTGAAAGTGGATTTAGGCTGTGCTTTCCATGATCTTTTTCCTTTATTTGTGGCTTTACTATTCACATCTACAGCTCATTTTTGTAATTAATATTAGCCCACTAGCGATGATACATTTTCAAGCCAAAAATAATATTTTCTGGGCAGCTTCAAAATCAGCTTGTGGGCAAGTCCAGGAATTGTAAGCTCTGATCTAGCCTGGTAATGTTTACTTTTCCGGATGTCTCATATGTGTGGCACCCATCGTAAGTGGGTTACTATAGAAATTTGTGTGGCAATGGAATATGATCATATTCTTCCAATCTGTTATGTTAAAATGATATATCTAGATATTTCCTGTAGACCAGAAAAATATGACTAATAAAAGTACATATTTACAAAAGGTATAATATAGACTGGCAATGACATCTATTGGTTTGCCAAACCTTATAGTTTAGATATATTTTCTTGAGATAATACCCAAATTACCTACCTTTTTTTTTTTTTAAGTTATTACAAGAACACGAACATCAGATGTAGTGAAACTTACTGTAATTATTATGTGCAACATGTGAGTAACTAGGGTTGCTGCCAGTGTGCGGCAGATGTAACGGGAACTAAGGTTAAGATGTGAACAGGTTAATGAGAGAGGTTAATGACTTTTTACATCAGCCATATTGACTCCATTTTCAACTAGGTATCTAGTGAAGGAATCAGGAGTGATTGAAGAGGATGAGCAGGGAATGTCATATGATGTTTGATATGATGCAATTTTTAAAAATTTAGTCTGCTTCTTTCTAGCTTCTTTTCCTTGCCCAACAGTCCCTTGGAGTGCTTTATCAGCTGCACATGCACCTATTTTATTTATGTTTTAGTCGCTATAAATGTATTGTCATGCATGAGCACAGTGTATAGTTGTTTTGCTTTAACTTGGATTGCGTCAGCCATTATGCATGAATGAGTACGGGAGATAAATCAACATTTAACATTTCCTGGAAGTGCAATGGCATCAACCTGTTTCGGTGGCTGGAAATTAGATATGTATTGACATACACTGCAGTTCTCAATAGCAGTGCTCTGCCCTCCAACATCCCCTGGAAAACATTGTCTTCTCTTTGTATGCACAGCAAGATAGAGCCGAAACTCGGGAGCACTGCTTCCGCGATCTTCTGCCTTCATTTTTGGCAGTATCATTTGTGTGTGCAGATTATTTCTTCTACCAGTGACTACAACTTTTTGCCCTCTACATGAATATCATATTCAATTTGCTTGAACTTTGTGGATCTTTACTGTAGAGATTAACCGAGAGAACATCAAACTCCTAAATACTGCTTATATCAGTACATGAGCGCCTCAGCCCACTGAGCCATTGAATAAAAAGTATCATGGGAAATGGGTTCCATCCTCTCTTGCTACACACTGGGGGTCCAAAGTAGGGTATTGTAAGTTTTTATTGTGACAGGATTCTAACTCTTTTAGTGGGAGGAAAGAATGGGTCAGTATGTGACTAAACTAATTTTTCTTACCACTAGAAAAATGTTTTTAGAGGTAGTGAAAATATCTGAAACAAGGGACTGTAATTATATTTGGTAAAATTTTTGTATATGAAGCTTAAGACTTTTTTTATTTACTGTTTTCCTTGAACATTGTTCCTATTCCTTCTTCAGTGACAGATACAAAGCATTTCACTCAATTGCCCTACCCTCTTAATCCTCCCCTTTCTACTAATCTTTCCTCTGCTTCACTTTCTTCTCAGGTTTCTCTTTTCATTCTTATACTATCCTTTAATGTTCTCTAATCTTTAACTATAAATCTTTAACTCCTCTTTGCCCTTTTCAACACAATACTTTATCATAGTGCTATATAACCTTTGATGCCTAGCCCATTTATTTGTTTCAAACATTAAACATTGTAAATTTTCTTCAGGGTTAGCCCATCCACAAGAGAATCAATATGATGTCTCAAACTTATTACATAGACTAAGTATATTCTGTCACGGGTAAAATATAGACTCATTACGTATATTTCATTCATATTTGATTGAATATACAGTTTTCTTCTCTTTTGTTTCTTTAAGAAATGTAACTTTTCTTTTCAACAAAAAAATCTCAGCTTGTGGTAGTACATCAGATCCGTATATTTAAAGTCTAAATGTTAGCTATTTGTATTCCAAACTCCATTGCAAACCAGTGCAGCAATGGAGGGGCACTGCATGTCTTGCCTCTCAGGTAAGAAATCTCTCCCCTCTATAACCAAAGCTCAGTTATATCTTTCCAGTCTTATAGGAAGTTATCTAAAACAGGATTTGATTTTAGATAACTAGCTACATTTTTTATCTCTAGAAATAACCAAATTTTACATTATTCCTTACTCACTTATATTTTAATGCAAACCTAGTACTTTATATATTCACTGATACATGACAAGGTAATTCAGAAAATACAAAATACCCATTAATTTTCTGTTGATATGTGTTTAGATCTGCTGTCATTAGTTAACTGCTATTTTATATATGACTGTTCACAACATAATAAGTTACAATGTATACATTGGCCTTTCCAAGTGGTAAATGATTAGGGTAAAGAAATGGTCAGTTTATAAATATAGTTTTCAGTTGAAAGGCACATGTGATAGGAGCTATACATAGATCCGTATACTTGTAGGCCTGTTTAGTTTTGTTTTCGTCAATTTCTTCTTTATTTTTAGCTAGCATAATATTTTCTATATTTCATAGTTACTTATGTCATGTACCAGAAAACACCCATACCCATTAGGTATTGTTAAACAGCTAGGCTGTATTAGATTTGTGTATCACAGTTGAAAATTCTAAAAAATAGTCTCCCTTCAAAGAGAATATGAGTTATTAGACATGTTTTGTCCATTTTAATTTCTTTTTCCTCCCTTTTTCCTACATTGACTCGTATATGATTATGCACATTCTATTGTTTCATTGTAAATTATTTTTTAGATTAATTTATTTTCATACATGCCTTATTCATCTATTGTGAAAAAATCCCATTGTAAATTATTCATAAAGTTGCAAATTTGTTCTTCATGTCCAATGAAGAGAAGGACTGTAAGAAAAGTCACAACGGTAATGTGTAAAAAGTTCGTAAGGGCAAGAAACCTGCTTGAAAAAAGTTATTTTGGAAAGAATATTTGCATAACTACGTAGGCAAAGTTATATTTTAATGGGAATAGCCTGTTCAATTTTGAAGTTAAATGTATAGCTCACTATGTTGAACACATTGAAAAAGAAGTTAGAGTTTTAATGTGAATGTAAATCCTGTTTAGAAAAAGGGGGCAATTTTATTTTTCTTTGCTATTTTTCCAGATGCATTATGTAAGCAACTTAAGGTAAATTTTTAGGTACTAGTTGTTATATATCATTTACATATTTAACTATTTGGTGGTAGGTTTTCAGAGTAAATTTCTGTGTTGGGTGCATGTGAAGGTAGATTTCTTCATACAAATGCTTAGGAAAATTGGCAGAAACAGCAGCAGCATCAGACTGTGGATGGGAATAAACCAGAGGGTAGAATGGGTCTCCCCCTTCTTTGTTCTACTACCCATCCTAGAGGTCTGCAATGCTGTGCTACTTATTGATGCTTCTCTTTCTTTCGTTCTCTCGTATTCTGCAATATCTTTGTTTCTTTGCCAAATGCCACTATACGGCTGGTTCAGAGCAAAGGCATCCTTCAAACTGTGTGATCCCCCAAATGCAGTTGTTGTTTTTATTTTCTATTGAGAATCATATTTCTCTTCTAACCCATTTCCTAGAATTTGAATAGATGAATGGTTTTTTACCTTTGCAGTTTAGAAATACACTAAGAATATTTATCTAGACTTTTGAAACACACCAGCTCTTTCACCTATTAGCATATGAATATGAATGTATTACATGTATACATTTGTTATGTTGGCCTAATTGTACATTCTATCTTACATTACTTCAAAAGAAAACTTTAAACTCATTAATTGCAGCATTAAAAATTGGCTAGTAGCCAGTTATGCACTTTAAGTGCATTACTGGTGTCTAATAGTGACACCAAACAAAAGCTGTCACTCCAATTGGAGAAAGACCGCTTCGCCCAAAGAGGTGATAGCACAGTGTATGTCCACCACAGCCAACATATATCATGCCATCCATATCTAAAGCTTTAGTTGATGGAAAGCTGTTGGTTAGATTAACTTTGGCTAACTAACAACCTTTTTTCTAAATTTCATGCCAGAATGGCAGACAGAGATACATACCTGCAAAGTTTTTATACGGCATACTCATTGAGTATATAATCATTACACACAGATTGAGAGCCCCTGATCTAGACAAATATAAGGAAGGAGTTTTGTTTAATTTCCCATGTGTGTCTTGTTTCATATATGTAAGGAGTTAAAAAAAAAATGCATATTAACTTTTGCAAATAGGAGTAGCCTAGATTTGCTAGCTTGATCCCTGGACAGGCATTTTTGTTGGCCATTTCATAGTATAGATAAGTTTTATTTCAGAGGAGGCAGGACAGCACATGACGTGTCACAGCTTACCTTGCTCCATTTCATTGATGTTTTTACGGTAGTCATATATAGTTTTATCATATTGCGAAGATTACATTAGCCATCAGAAGAAAAAGCAGAACCAGTAGTGTGAGGTAGTAAACCAGGTGCTATATTTCATATTTCATATATCATCCAGCCAAACCCTAGATCTTTTCCCCCCACTCCACAGACAATACTATTACATATTGCAGTTATCTTTTGGTGAATTATTGTCTTTTATTTATTTGTCTAGATATTTAGAAATACTTTTAAATAAACAAAATTGCTTTATACGTTCTGTACACATTCATGATATTCTGCCGTTTTCGTTTGTACACAAGGGTAAACCTTTTCAACTCAACAGTGATGAAGTAACATTTCTGGTTTGTAAGCTCCTCAAATGCCTGCAATCAAAATGTGCTTTAGTGAAATATGAAAAATTATGCCATTCTTGAAGCTGGAGAGACTGATAGCATCAGGTTTTGCAATTGTTAGGGGTTAAACCATTCAAGAGATTTAAAAAAATCATATGAGATCTATAGAAATTTTAGGCATGCCTTCTTAAAATGTTTGTTAGAATGCTACAATTTAGTCTTATTGTATTATTATATTATATGCATTATTATCACTATTTGATATTGATACCCTGTAGAGCTTATACCACCTTAACTTGAAACATAAATTGCTCATTTGTCCTTATATATTCTTTTCCAGTTTTGCTGCAGAAGTTTTAAGTCCAGGTTTTGCAAGCAGAGTAGTTAGGGAAGCACAAGCACATAATGGAAGAAGTCCAGGAGAGAACCGCAGACAATATCCAACAGGTATGTACCTCTTTATGAGATCTTTTATCCCCTGTAGCCAAAATTTATGACATGTATATATTTAAGTTAATTATACTAGTTCAAAATACATTATATTCAGTAGTATATGAAGTAAATATTTATCATGGTATATTTTCATCAGCTCAAGAAAGATATGTTCGAGCAGGTGTGCTGCCAAATGTGCGCCTTGGAGGGCGCACAAAGGCAGTCCTCAGTCCAAGAAGACCACCTACCTCCCCGCTTCTCCCTCTAGGCCGATCCACAGCCACTTTTACATCTTCACTTTCTTCTGATTTCTTGTCTTCAGCAACACCAAGGTTAGATAGCCATCCTAGTATTTGTACTGTGCTCTGTTTGTTGTTTATGTGATGTTGACCCCCCCCCCCCCTTAAGAATTGTATATCCACATAAAGCCAAGATGATTTTTTGATTATTAAAGTAGTTGAATTATCCTGTTTTAGCTAACTGAGATAGTTAAGTTATCCTTTTTAAAAAAATTGCTATCCTCAGAATGCCCGACATCAGATCTGTAGCTTCAGTTCTTGAGCCACCGAATACACCAAATGAATGTGCCAGAGACCCAACA